GAACCAGGACCAAGACCAGAACCAAGACCAATACCAGAACCAAGACCAAGACCAGAACCAGAACCAAGACCAATACCAGAACCAGGACCAAGACCAGAACCAGAACCAAGACCAATACCAGAACCAAGACCAATACCAGAACCAAGACCAAGACCAGAACCAGGACCAAGACCAGATCCAAGACCAATACCAGAACCAGAACCAAGACCAATACCAGAACCAAGACCAAGACCAGAACCAAGACCAAGACCAGAACCAAGACCAAGACCAGAACCAGAACCAAGACCAATACCAGAACCGAGACCAAGACCAGAACCAGAACCAAGACCCGAACCAAGACCAGAACCAAGACTAAGACCAGAACCAGAACCAGGACCAAGACCAGAACCAAGACCATAACCAGAACCAAGACCAATACCAGAACCAAGACCAAGACCAGAACCAGAACCAGGACCAAGACCAGAACCAGAACCAAGACCAAGACCAGAACCAGGACCAAGACCAGAACCAGAACCAAGACCAAGACCAGAACCAAGACCAGAACCAGAACCAAGACCAGAACCAGAATCAAGACCAAGACCAGAACCAGAACCAGGACCAAGACCAATACCAGGACCAAGACCAGAACCAGAACCAAGACCAGAACCAGAACCAAGACCAGAACCAGGACCAAGACCAAAACCAGGACCAAGACCAGAACCAGGACCAGGACCAAGACCAGAACCAGAACCACGACCAGAACCAGGACCAAGACCAAGACCAATACCAGGACCAAGACCAGAACCAGAACCAGGACCAGAACCACAACCAGGACCAGAACCAAGACCAACACCAGAACCAGAACCAAGACCAAGACCAGAACCAAGACCAGGACCAAGACCAGAACCAGAACCAGGACCAAGACCAGAACCAAGACCAAGACCAGGATCAAGACCAGAACCAGGACCAAGACCAGAACCAAGACCAGAACCAGAACCAGGACCAAGACCAGAACCAGAACTAAGACCAGAACCAAGACCAGAACCAGAACCAAGACCAGAACCAGAACCAGGACCAAGACCAGAACCAGAACCAAGACCAGAACCAGAACCAGGACCAAGACCAGAACCAGGACCAAGACCAGAACCAGAACCAAGACCAGTACCAAGACCAGAACCAGAACCAAGACCAGAACCAGAACCAAGACCAGAACCAAGACCAATACCAGAACCAAAACCAAGACCAATACCAGGACCAAGACCAGAACCAGAACCAAGACCAAGACCAGAACCAAGACCAATACCAGAACCAGGAAAAGACCAGAACCATAACCAAGACCAATACCAGAACCAGGACCAAGACCAGAACCAGAACCAGGACCAATACCAGAACCAGGACCAAGACCAGAACCAAGACCAATACCAGAACCAAGACCAAGACCAGAACCAGAACCAAGACCAATACCAGAACCAGGACCAAGACCAGAACCAGAACCAAGACCAATACCAGAACCAAGACCAATACCAGAACCAAGACCAAGACCAGAACCAGGACCAAGACCAGATCCAAGACCAATACCAGAACCAGAACCAAGACCAATACCAGAACCAAGACCAAGACCAGAACCAAGACCAATACCAGAACCAAGACCAAGACCAGAACCAGAACCAAGACCAATACCAGAACCGAGACCAAGACCAGAACCAGAACCAAGACCCGAACCAAGACCAGAACCAAGACTAAGACCAGAACCAGAACCAGGACCAAGACCAGAACCAAGACCATAACCAGAACCAAGACCAATACCAGAACCAAGACCAAGACCAGAACCAGAACCAGGACCAAGACCAGAACCAGAACCAAGACCAAGACCAGAACCAGGACCAAGACCAGAACCAGAACCAAGACCAAGACCAGAACCAAGACCAGAACCAGAACCAAGACCAGAACCAGAATCAAGACCAAGACCAGAACCAGAACCAGGACCAAGACCAATACCAGGACCAAGACCAGAACCAGAACCAAGACCAGAACCAGAACCAAGACCAGAACCAGGACCAAGACCAAAACCAGGACCAAGACCAGAACCAGGACCAGGACCAAGACCAGAACCAGAACCACGACCAGAACCAGGACCAAGACCAAGACCAATACCAGGACCAAGACCAGAACCAGAACCAGGACCAGAACCACAACCAGGACCAGAACCAGAACCACGACCAGAACCAAGACCAGGACCAAGACCAGAACCAGAACCAAGACCAGAACCAAGACCAACACCAGAACCAGAACCAAGACCAGAACCAAGACCAGGACCAAGACCAGAACCAGAACCAAGACCAGAACCAGAACCAAGACCAAGACCAGGACCAAGACCAGAACCACAACCAGGACCAGAACCAGAACCAACACCAGAACCAGAACCAAGACCAGGACCAAGACCAGAACCAGAACCACGACCAGAACCAAGACAAACACCAGAACCAGAACCAGGACCAGAACCAGAACCAGGACCAAGACCAGAACCAGAACCAAGACCAGAACCAGAACCAAGACCAGAACCAGAACCAAGACCAAGACCAGAACCAAGACCAGAACCAGAACCAAGACCAGAACCAGAACAAAGACCCACACCAGAACCAGAACCAAGACCAAGACCAGGACCAAGACCAGAACCAGAACCAGGACCAAGACCAAGACCAAGACCAAGACCAGAACCAAGACCAGGACCAAGACCAGAACCAGAACCAGAAGCAGGATTTCAGGGTTTTTGTCTCTTTGTTTCTGTTTCTCAGAGAAATTTTGTCTTTGTGTTTTAATATTTCTGCAGATCTTTTAGCCGCCATCTTATTCTGTTTAAACTCGCTCTGATTGGCTTATTTTGGTCTCCATAGAAACACCCTGGCCAATAGCTGCGGAACAGGGATTCGCTCGTCCACCAACGATCCGAGTCGGAAACCTCTGGACAACCGAGTGTTGAACACGGTCAAACGTAAGAATGTCGGCAACAACCTGAGGCTGGTCTGCCTTCATCACACACTGAAGCTCCTCTTCCTCCTCTTCCTCCTCCGTCCTCTTCTCCTCTTCCTCCTCCCTCCTCTCCTCCTCTTCCTCAGTGTACTGTCAGAACTTTGCTCCCAACTTCAAGGAAAGTGAGATGAATGTCATTGCCGCTGACATGTGCACAAACGCCCGCAGAGTCCGTAAGCGCTGGCTCCCAAAGATCCAGTCGCTCCTCCCTGATGGCCTCCCCTCCTCCGCATCATCCCATCCCCGAAAGGGGAAGAGAGGAGCAGCAGGAGCAGCAGGAGGAGAGCGGCCCGCCGGCAGCCCCTTCGATCTGGACTTGCGGCAGCTCAGCGCCTCCTACCTCAGCCTGGAGGCTCCGACCTACACGGAGCGCCGTGAGAGGGAGGCGGCAGGAGAGAAGGAGAAGGAGGTCCAGCTCCCTCACCTGCAGTTCGCCGGCTCCCGAGGAGGAGAGGGGGGGCCGGAGGAGGAGGAGGAGCCTATGGGGGGGGAGGCAGATGGGGATGGGAGGCAACAGACTGAACAGCCCCCAGATCTGCCCCTCTCCCTGTCCTCCTCTTCCTCCTCTTCGCACCCTTCCCCTCAGCCTGCAGAGTCCGCCCCCCCTCACAGGGGATTGGCTGACACAGATATGAGGGAGGAGGGGCCTACGGAAGACAGCCAATAAGTATCCTAATGCATCTGCCTACCTGTCTGTAAATAAAACAATAGCTACCTGGCTCCACCTCTCCGTCTACCTCCCTGTCCACCCGTCTGTCTTTCGCCACCTGTTTGTCTTTCTCCACCTGTCTGTCTGTCTCCACCTGGGGTCTTCCTGTTTGGTCACATATTTATTCACTTGTCCCACTTTTCAACCTTGGCTCTGTCTGTCTACCTCTGATCTTTTATTTGTCCTTCAAACCGTCTCCCTCTACCTCACTTCCTGCCCACCTGTCTACCTCTGCTCCTGTCTGTCCACCTGTCCGTCTGCTTGGCTCTGCTGCATGTCGACAGCTTTCTGCAGTCCAGCACACAGGCCCATAGCAACAGGACTGATGAAGATGATGATGACTATACTCTGATGATGATAATAAAGCTTGTCGATGCTCAGGTTTCTTTGAGTCGACCTGAGAAACTCGTGTGTGACTCGTTATTCAGCCGTATCACTCTGGGTTCTGGAGTCATCAGAACCCGATCAGAACCTTCATCCACCAGGAACTTTCAAAGAGCCAGTGAGGATGATGATGCTGTGAGCAGGACGGACCTTCAGCAGCAGTCAGCATTGCAACAACTCTGAAGAAGCTTCTGACTGAAAGCTGTTAGTGACCGGCATGCTAACAGCTCAACAGCAACATGTCCGGGATGAAACCATCAGCTGTTCGCTATCTCAGCTAATTCTCCTCCTTGGGTTTTGATGCTCCTCTTTAAATTCTCTTCAGCTCCTTTGGGATTTGGGGTCAAAGTTCAGGTATTATTTGAGCTTTAAGATTGTCATGGTTACACATTATAACTGACTGTAAATAAGTGAAAAGTACTAAACATAATTATTAAATAAATCCTAAGTATTTAATAATAAATAATATTAACAGTTTATTACTACAACTGTTTGAGTTCTAATAATTAAAATATATGAAGAATAATTGCAATAATAAATGCAAATATTTGTTCTCGTGAATTCCAGTTTATTCATTAAAGAGCTTTTATTTGATGTGCTCAAAACAAACTAGGATCAATTAAATGACTGATTTCTGCCGTGGAGAATCCCAGGCTCTCCGATGCTGCATGCTGGGAAATGTAGTTTGGTTCACGGCGCCACTGTAAAACCAGAAACATTGTCCAGCCAATCACAGCAGCCCAGCTATACTAGTAACTAACCACAGCACTTCAGGCAAATTACCGACCAATCAAAAGCATAGCAACAAATCATACGTAATTAAAACATCACGGCCAATCACAGTGTCTCCTCCATGCCACTGGCCAATTAATTCACAACAACACGCATGATGCAGTTTTGCAAAGCGCATGCGCACAGTGTGGACAGCTGATAACTCATCTATTATGCTACTTGGCTGTTAAATAAAAATCCATCAGAGGAGCTTCTGGATCCGCCGCTGGACCACCGGAGCGCCGAAAATACAAAGTAAACACGGCTGTGAGGGTTCTGGTGCCGGGGTTAAAGGGCGGAAGATGCGGATGGTTCGGGCCGTAGTGTCGAAGGCTGCTGGCCGCTCGGCGCCTTCAGACAAAGCTCAGCTAACAGCTAATAAGCTAGCATGCTAAGAGACTAGCGGCACGGAGCGGGAACATCCGCAAATATTCGAGTTCTGACCCAAAAGGCCCGGTGACAAAGACTGTCTTAACCCATAAAAAGTCCACGTGGTTGTTAACATACACAATCCTAGTCCGTCCACCGCCCCCTGGGTCTGCTTCCAGCTCTCCGGTAAGGAGCAGCGCTCGGTCTGCTAGCAGCAAGCCATTAGCTGAGGCTTGCCCGCCATCTTTTCTGGCTCGGTAGGAGGATGTTTCGGTCCAAAGAACGAGCAGAACCGAGACCCTGTAACACCCACTGCATCATCATAGGCTGCAGTTAGCAGAACACCTGCATGGCTGAGGGAAAAGGAGCGGGTGGAGCCGCTGTTTGCCTGGATGTCTGCGGTGTAGAGGGCGCTAGCTGTTAGCTACCATTAGCGGGATAACGGCAGAAGCGTGCAAGCAGCTGGACTCTCGGGAACAGCCTGGTTCGGTACTGGAGTTCTGGTATGCTGGTTTGGATCAGTACCCGGAGATACGGTTGGACTTTGGGTCGATACATGGCAGGCGGCTTTCAGTTATTTTACATTAAGATGTTCTGATTGAGCTGCCAGCTCTGTTCTGGTTCTGTTTGTAAGTGGAAGCTGTGGGAGTGAATAAATGGTTCTGGTAAACTAGATATTTCTTTAGTTTCCAGGTCTGACTAAGTGTGAAGCGGTTTGGGTTTGGATTAGAACCGGATCCTGAAACCATGGTTCTGAGTGGAGGACAGGATTGAGTGTTGTAGGACAAACGGGTTGCTGGTTCAGGTTCTGAACCTCAGAAGGGTTCCTCTGCACAGTCAAACCAAGCCACGCGTAAACAGGGTTTGATTCTACCAGAATCTGGTACAATCAGTCACAATGTATTTCTTCATGTCACAGAACCATTAACTGAACTTAAATCCAGTTCTTCTGGATTTAAGATTGACCCATAAGCAGACGGTCGGGTTGTCCTGAATTATTCACCTTTCTAGTAAATATGATGACGCTCCAAGAGTTCCAGCAGCAGATTGTGGGTGTTTGGCTCTGTCTGAGATTCTGAGAAACCTGAGACAAGTCTCCCCTGATTGCCCGCTGAACCTGGCGTCTCCCCTGATTGGCCGCTAAACCTGGCGTCTCTCCTGATTGGCCGCTGAACCCGGCGTCTCACCTGATTGGCCGCTGAACCCGGCGTCTCACCTGATTGGCCGCTGAACCCGGCGTCTCCCCTGATTGGCCGCTGAACCCGGCGTCTCACCTGATTGGCCGCTGAACCTGGCGTCTCCCCTGATTGGCCGCTGAACCTGGCGTCTCCCCTGATTGGCCGCTGAACCCGGCGTCTCACCTGATTGGCCGCTGAACCTGGCGTCTCCCCTGATTGGCCGCTGAACCTGGCGTCTCCCCTGATTGGCCGCTGAACCCGGCGTCTCACCTGATTGGCCGCTGAACCCGGCGTCTCACCTGATTGGCCGCTGAACCCGGCGTCTCCCCTGATTGGCCGCTGAACCCGGCGTCTCCCTGATTGGCCGCTGAACCCGGCGTCTCCCTGATTGGCCGCTGAACCCGGCGTCTCCCCTGATTGGCCGCTGAACCCGGCGTCTCCCCTGATTGGCCGCTGAACCCGGCGTCTCCCCTGATTGGCCGCTGAACCCGGCGTCTCCCCTGATTGGCCGCTGAACCCGGCGTCTCCCCTGATTGGCCGGATCAGAGCAAGGTGCTCAGGAGCTGCTGGTTCTGGTTCCATGAGATCAGTACGCTGTCAGAATAGCACACATGCAGTGAGGATGCGTCCCTGCGGATTAAGAAGTCCGACCTTTAGAGGAGCTGTCAGTTCAGCAAAAACGGAAAAAAAAATGACCTGGTCTGACAGATACAGCCGCACTGGTCCTCCAGTGTTGGACCGGGCCGACCTTTTCGGCCAACAGTGATCTATGGATGGTCCTGTCGTGTCTGCTGGTTTCAGAACCAGATTAGGGTTGATCAGATCAGAACCCGGTTCCATGTTTTTATATCTATACTCCGCTTTGCGTTGCCATGGTAACCTGGAGAGGTTCTGATCCAAACACATCCGGTCTGAAAACACTCAGTGTTTGAATCTGAAGCTTCATTTTAAATGAGCAGAACCGTGAAGGCCCGGTTTTGACAGAGCCGGGTTCTGACCTCAGCAGGTGCAATCAGAACCAACTTGAGCAGCTCAGTTAGAAATGCTGCTGGCTCTGGTTCTGACCCAGTCCTTGCAGATTCCTGTATTCCAGCAGCATTGGGTATGTTTGGTCCGGTCCGGTCTGGTTCTGAGGTCCGGTCCGGTCTGTCCTGCTTCTCGTTCTGTGACACGTTCGCTGACCGGGTTTTCTGGCTCTGGGTGATCCAGACGGATCATAACAACTGATCAAATCTACAGTTCAGATATCTCGATTGATAAATAGTGCGTGAGGCCCCTGGGGCTGCCCAATCAGCTGCCTGCATTAAATACTCAGAAGATACCTGAGTGTAGGAAGAGCACTGCATTATGGGAGAAGTTACTGCAGAAATCTGCAAACTGCTGCATAACCCTGAGAGGTTCTGACAGATGAGTTATGCCAGGTATCAGTGATGTCACTGACTGATATCTGCAGGAAAAAGCGTACTTTTAAAAATATCCCAGATGTGGTAATTCAGTTGCAGAATCCTCAAAAAGATTCCAGAGTCAGACTTACGCTTTTATTAATCTAACTTACTTCTGCTGAGTCATGATTTACTTTCAAGATATCTGCAAGTTAATTTGCACCAATTGGGTATGATAAATATAGTTATGACCAGTAACTAGTAAAATGCCCTAAATTTACTTTGACTAGTCATAATTTAATCATTTATCTGAAGTTTATTGTATACATGCTGAAGCACATCTGGATAGAAATGTCCTAAATAATACTAGACAGAATAAAATTAAGTCTTCATTCAGCAACATGTCAAAAGGAATGTCAGGTGTCGGCGGAGTGAAGCTGATTTTATGATGAAATGGTTTGCCATACAGAGAGTTTCTGTGATCTGAAGGTGTTGCCGGGAGGCAGGGCTAACTGTGTGTGTGTGTGTGTGTGTGTGTCTTTTGCAGGTCGTGTGATGGGACTCATTCTCTCTAGGGGGTCCTCTGAGCTGAAGCTCCTCAACTGAACACACACCTGAGCGCCTCACACACACACACACCTGTGAGCCGCGTTTTCCTACCTCCAGGCCAGACGCTGCTGTTCCAAGGTGCATTGCTGCATCGTCCACCATGTCGGACGCCCCCGAGGCTGCGCCCGCCAGCCCCCCACCCATCACCAACCCACCCCCCCCTGAGGTGTCCAACCCCAACAAGCCTGGCAGGTAGGAGGGGGTTGATCGCTCTCTGTCTCTCTATCTCCATTTCTCTTTCTCTATCTCTCTCATCCTTCTCTCTCATCCCTCCATCAGGAAAACCAACCAGCTCCAGTACATGCAGAACGTTGTGGTAAAGACTCTGTGGAAGCATCAGTTCGCCTGGCCTTTCTACCAGCCGGTGGACGCCATCAAGCTGTGTCTCTGGGTAGGTCATTCCCGTAGCGACGGCCCTGTGACCCCCGCACGCCGCCGCTGACCCTCTCTGTCTGCAGGACTACCACAAGGTGATCAAGAACCCCATGGACATGGGAACCATCAAGAAGCGTCTGGAGAACAACTACTACTGGAGTGCCAGTGAGGCCATGCAGGACTTCAACACCATGTTCACCAACTGCTACATCTACAACAAGGTAGGGAGCGGCGCCCCCTGCTGGCCGGATGGAGGGAGAGGCGCCCCCTTCTGGTCGGACGCTGACCCCCTGGCTTGTCTCTGCAGCCCACAGACGACATCGTTCTGATGGCTCAGGCCCTGGAGAAAATCTTCCTGCAGAAAGTGGCTCAGATGCCCCAGGAGGAGGTTGCTCTGCTGCCGCCGGCGCCCAAAGTGAAGAAGAGCAAGCAGCCGCCAGCCACCACAGGTCAGAAAGGGGCCAAACATCCATCTCTACTGCTGCTAACACTGCTAAGGTTTCCCCCATTGTATTATAAGCCTGGCGGCCCGCCATGCTTAGCGAGCCCCCCCGCCCCCGCCAGGCTAGGCGTTGCTTGTTTATATTTTTAAGAAAATAATTTTAAAAATTGAGCATTTTTTTATTATTTTCTAGCCCACTGTATTCTCTCTGGTGGTGCAGCTCTTCGTGATGAAGCGATGAGAATGATTTATCTTTGTGAACAAGTTATGTGGGTTGTTTCCATCTCAACAGCTGCCCAGCGTGTGGCGCTGTCTGCCCTGTAAACTTCATGTCTGTGGTCCAGTTAGCGGTTAACGGACCAGCGCTGACCTCATGCAGGTTCAGCTGGTGAGGAGCTTCGCACTGGTTTTCTGTTATCTATATATTATCGCTCACAGCTCGTATATTCTCAGCGCACAAGAAAATCTATGCAGCGCATAAAATAAAGTCCAACATAAACTGCACATTGAGCTCAGACATCAGCTTTGACGATGGACCAATAACATTTTTTCTGTACTACTTTGCGATCGAACAGGAATCCAGCCAATGATATGATACAGTTCAGTTTTGCTGCAGCCAATCATCACCTGCTATTTTGTGTACATGTCTTGGTCATATGGGCTGTGGCACCGTGCAGGTGAGAATAGTGCAGGTGAGAATAGTGCAGGTGAGAATAGTGCAGGTGAGAATAGTGCAGGTGAGAATAGTGCAGGTGAGAATAGTGCGGCGGAGTTAAGACACGTGAAAGATAACACCTTATCACGTCTCAGTGGGACGTCCACTCACCAAAGTAAAAAAACAAATGCACCTCTAAGATCAAATGGCTGTTGGAGTTTATGCAACTAGAAGAACAGTAGAGTGGACAGAAGAGGGACCGTGTCACTGTTGAGATTATTCTTTTTGTTAGTAAGTGCTGTGATCACATTGATGCTCGTTTATCAGAGCATGAATTAAAGGATGGTTTGCATTTGATATTGAAGCACTGAGTTATGAATAAGCAGACATTTGTACACTGGCAAAGACATATGAGGCCATTAACAGTCAATATGCTGAATTCAAGAACATAAAGCAAGAAGCAGACTGACCATCAACCTGGGCTAAGTGAACAACCACTGGAGAAGGGCAGACGTAAAAAAAACTAATTAAATATTTTACAAGAATTTATACTGTATCACAAGCTACAGAAAACATCTCATTGTGCAAAAAGTGAACATTTTAATATGAACAGTTATCTCTGAAAGGTGTGATGTGTCATTTCTCACCCTGTATAAAGCAGGACTCTTATACTATGCATGTCATGAACAGCAATGTTTTCTTCTTTTTCATTTTAATTAAAAAGCAAACACATGAAAATTGCTGATGTAATCAGATTCTTTTAATAAGCCATGCACCTTCCTATGATCCCATGTAATTACCCAGTAATATTTGTACATTTTCTGTCTACTTAACATGTTTTATTGTGAAAACACGTGGAGCGACCGCTGGGCTGAGCAGGTTTTCTGGGGGAACTGTGACTAACGCTGCACATTTAGCTTGCTGAGGTATCAGGTGTGACAAAGACATTTCAAACCTAATTTTTGCTGAGCTGTAGTTGACCTGAGTCCTTGCAGTAGAATACTGTAAGAAAGGTTTTATTAATAATGAATGATGGAAGCAGAGGGAAACGATTACATTGCTGATGGATTATTAATGTTTTCTAGGAAAGACTTAAAGTCTGTAATTTTCCATTTATACATGTATTTATTTGCCTGTTTCTGTTGTGGTAATTGTCTTTATATATGTAACCTCTCTCTGTCTCTCTCTCTCTCTCTCTCTCTCTCTCTGTCTCTCTCGCTCGCCCTCAGTGAGCCAGCAGGCCGAGTCCTCCGCCTCCTCGCCGCCATCCTACCCCTCCCCTTCGCCCTCCCAGACACCTGTCATCTCGACCACACCCACACCTGTGCCCGCCACGCCCCCTGTGCCCGCCACGCAGCCCCCGGCAGCCATGATGCCCTCTGCACAGCCGGTCGTTAAGGTAACAGCTTCACATGAAACCACTTCCTGTCAGTTCAGTTTGCACGACTAAAATTCAGATCAGAAATTAAATAACAGAAAAGCTTCCACCTAAAAACACAATCCTTCATGAAGTTAAACATAAAAACACATTGAAGTATTAATTATTACACGTTTAATAAAAATACAAATTTAAATAAATAGAATCTGACAACCAGCTGACTGAGGTTTTGAAGATCCAAAGTCACATCAATATCTGAGAACATCAGTAATCAAATGCAGTGATATGACATTATGTCAAAACATTTATGGATTTCTATACAAATCCAACAAGAACTCCAAGAAATTGTGACTCTTGTATTCCAACACTATTTATTGCTAAAATGTTCAGACTTGCAGTCACACATAAACAAGTCAAAGTTTAGGGTTTTAAAAGTGAATCAAAATGTGAAAGAGAAGCAAACATGGCGGCTGAAACGACACTGGAAACATCCTGAATCATTTATGAGTCAGAATCAACAGGCTTCAAGCATAGGCGCTCATGTGTGTGTGTGTGCGTGTGTGTGTGTCCGTCCCCATGTCCGTGTCCGTCCAGCAGAAGAAGGGCGTGAAGAGGAAAGCGGACACCACCACCCCGACCACGTCGGCCATCTCTGCTGGCCGCGCCGACTCCCCGTCCGCCCAGGACGCCAAGCCGCCCAAGCTGGCCTCCTCCCGCCGAGAGGCTGCCGCCCGGCCCGCCAAGACCCGCCGCGAGACGGTGGAGGAGGCGGCAGGGGCCGAGGTGGCGCTGGGCGGGGCGGGGGCCGGCGCCCGGAAGGCCGGCAAGCTGGGGGAGCAGATGAAGCACTGCGACGCCATCTTGAAGGAGATGCTGTCCAAGAAGCACGCCGCCTACGCCTGGCCCTTCTACAAGCCGGTCGATGCCGAGGCGCTGGAGCTGCACGACTACCATGACATCATCAAGCACCCCATGGACCTCAGCACCGTCCGGGTAAGCCCCGGTTCGGCCCGGTCCTCCTGGGTCAGAACCGCAGAGAGTCAGGCAGGAGACATCTCTGTTGTCCTGTCGACGAACGTGGCCAACAGCCTCCGGAGCAGCACCTTGTGTTTGACTCCGGCACAAAGGATCAATTCTGGTTCTGATCCAGGTTCTCTTTCGGGTTCTGGTTCTGATCCAGGTGAGAGTGCTGGGAGTTTACCGTGTGTTCAGGATAAACGCCTGAATCACAATGAGTTTTACTATGGAGTCACTTCCTGTCTCATCATGTGGGTATAAATAAGCCCCATTTTTACGTTGAGCTCAGTGATGATGTCACTAACCACGGCTCCTCTGTGTTTCTGTTCTCAAGTGTTTGTAGATCTATATTAATGGCACTAAAAACCAGCAGTCAGCTGCATCCTGGGGGCGGAGCTTGTAGCGCTGACGATGATGCGTTTGTGTGTCTGCAGAAAAAAATGGACAAAGGAGAATACAGCGACCCGCAGAGCTTTGCCACGGACGTCAGGTTAATGTTCTCCAACTGTTACAAGTACAACCCCCCCGACCACGAGGTGGTGGCCATGGCCCGCAAGCTGCAGGTAGGTCAGCGCGCGGGCGCCCTGACCCCACCCTGACCTCACCCTGACCCCGCCCCGTCTCTCTGTGCAGGACGTGTTCGAGATGCGCTTTGCCAAGATCCCAGACGAGGGCCTGGAGGTGTCGGTCCCGTCCACCACGCCGGTGGTCAGTAAAAGCACCGCCTCCTCCGACAGCAGCAACAACTCCTCCTCCGACGAATCGTCGGACTCCGAGGAGGAGCGAGCCACCCGACTGGCCGAGCTACAGGAGCAGGTTGGTGCTGCCGACCAATCACAGGTCAAGAACATTCTGGTTTCCTTCTCCTTTTGTCTGAATCATGTTTGTTAGCCGTACGTTGCTGTGGGCGTGTCTGCGAGCGGCGGGTTGATTGTCAGTGTGTCCCTTCAGCTGAAGGCCGTGCACGAGCAGCTGGCCGTGCTGTCGCAGGCGCCCGTCAGCAAGCCAAAGAAGAAGAAAGAGAAGAAGGACAAAGAGAAGAAGAAAGACAAGGACAAAGGGAACAAAGCCAAGATAGAAGAAGAGAAGAAACCCAAGGCCGCCGCTCAGCAACCCAAGCCAGCCAATCAGAAGAAAAGCACCAGCCAGGAAAGCCAACAGCACGGTACCGGCCACCAGGTACGAGCCGTCTGACCTTTCACCTGCCTGCAGCCGTGCCGCAGCTCTCTGGGCCCACCGCGTCCGCTCTGTTTCCAGGCAACCGAAGAAAGCCAACAAGACGTCAGGCGGCGGATCGGCCAACGGCGACGACGGCGAGGAGTCGTCCCTGCCGATGTCGTACGACGAGAAGCGGCAGCTGAGCCTGGACATCAACCGCCTGCCTGGGGAGAAGCTGGGCCGGGTCGTCCACATCATCCAGTCCAGGGAGCCGTCGCTGAGGGACTCGAACCCCGACGAGATCGAGATCGACTTCGAGACGCTCAAACCCTCCACGCTGCGCGAGCTGGAGCGCTACGTCAAGTCCTGCCTGCAGAAGAAGCAGAGGAAGCTGCTGCGTGAGTACTGTGCTGGTCGCCATAGCGATGGGTTGATTACACACAGAAATTAGTTGCTGAGTGAAACCTGCTGAGGAAAATTACGTCAACCGTATATTTAAAAAAAAAAGGCTGAACCTCTGATTCAAGGAAAAAAATACTCATAAAAATGCAGGAAGCAGAGATTTAATACTCCAGCAGGGGGCGACGCCAGTTCCACTCGCACCACCAGGTCCTGCAGCGTTCTGGGGAACAAACTGGCCGTTTCTCACCACCTCCTACCAAAGCATCCCCAGGGCATCATGGGAAATACTTTGGTTTCTCAAAGCCCCGCCTACATCGTCCTGATGTAACCGTGATCGGTTCAGACCGCCAACGTCCTCACCCTACAGCGCTCAAAGGCGTCGTACACTTATTGCTCCGACCTCTAAGGTCATGGGGTCAAGGCCCGGCTGTGACCTCGGGATGACCTGCTGGTCTGAAATCCGTAAATCAATCAATTGGGCCCTGCAAATCAACCAGTCGCTGTAGGGGAAGTCAAAGGTCACATGATCAAGGCACCGTTTTTAACTCGCCCCTCTCTCTCTTCCAGAAAAGGCAGCTGGGGGCGGGGCTTCTGGGGGCGGGGCCAGCCGCCTGAGCGGTAGCTCCTCTTCCTCGTCTGACGACAGCTCCTCGACAGGCTCCTCCTCTTCCTCCGACACAGACTGAGAACACGGTTCAATTCAGACAGGACTGCTGCCACACACACACACTGACACACACACACACACACTGACACACACACACACACTGACACACACACACTGACACACACACACACACACGTGGAGACTGTATGTAAATAGGCCGACATGTTTTTTAGCTCCTAGTGTTCCTGTTTTCAGTGGAGAAACACAGGACAGGCTGAGGAAGAGGAGGAGGAAGACTGGAGGACACCTGGGCATCCTCCTCCTCCTCGTCTTCCTCCAGATTGGCCGGCAGTGACCCCTGACCTCTGAACACATTCCAGAGTCATCCGTCAAGCATCATGGGAGATATGGATGGGAAGTGGGTGGGGCTACCAGAGGAAGAGGAGCAGCTATCCGATTGGCTGGTCATGGGGCTGGGCCAGCAGAACCCCCTGGTTCTGAAGGACCCGTGGTGCAGCGGCGGTTCTGGGCCAGCAGAACCCCCTGGTTCTGAAGGACCCGTGGTGCAGCGGCGGTTCTGGGCCAGCAGAACCCCCTGGTTCTGAAGGACCCGTGGTGCAGCGGCGGTTCTGGGCCAGCAGAACCCCCTGGTTCTGAAGGACCCGTGGTGCAGCGGCGGTTCTGGGCCAGCAGAACCCCCTGGTTCTGAAGGACCCGTGGTGCAGCGGCGGTTCTGGGCCAGCAGAACCCCCTGGTTCTGAAGGACCCGTGGTGCAGTGGCGGTTCTGGGCCAGCGGGCGGCGCTGCAGGAGAAGCTCGTCTCTCTCCAACCCTTCTGGTCCTGGGGCTTCACGGTTCTCCTGAGCGGAACCAGATCCAGTTGGTTCTCCGGCGGGCCTCTCAGCAGAACCGGTCCGGGCGCCGCCGTCGCCACGGTAACCCAATGAGGCAGATTCCTGACACTACATTTTCTTTTTCCTCCTGTTTGGGTTTTCCCGTCGTGTTCTGACCCGTTTGTGTCTTCTAAAGTTCTCAGTATATGATGTTTGTGCCGCTGTCCGGTCCGAACTCTGAACCCTCTCCGTCCGGGTCCAGAACCGCTGGAGGCCTGGTCCGATCCTTGCCCCAGAGACTAAAGGTTCTGATCCGACCCGAGGAGCTTCTCAATGTTTTTAACAGATCAGACGGGATGTGGTACCGGTTCTGGTTCTGGCGTAAGCAGCTCATGAACCGGACTCTGGGTCGGCGCCAGGTCACAGGAAGGAGAAGGATCCGCCTTCTGCTGCACACGTGACAGAACTGATCACGTAGAGTGACAGCCAATCAGGAAGGAGATGGGCGGGAGTTCCTGTGGGCCCCGAGTCTCTGATTGGCTGAGCCCTGCAGCGCCCTCTGCTGCCCGTCTGTGTACAGTTCATTTGGATTTTTATTTGTTTTTAAAATATTGAACCAAAGTTCGCCGCCTTCCTCTGCAGTGTGGTCGTCATGGAGACGGATCAGCGCCCCCAGTGGACAGCCCGTTGCCACGGTAACCCCTTTGGATTGTAGTTGATGGTGGAGCTTCGATGCTGATAGTTAATTTTTGTATTTTATAAGAAAAAGAAAGAAAAAAGTGATTTTATGTATCTGCATGCACTCCGGCCGTACGTTACTTCTGTATGTTTGAGCACTGTATAGTAGCTGTAAGTAGCTGTGTGGTAGACGGAGACCAGAACCGGGTCGGAGCAGAACCCAGCAGAGGAGGAACCGACTAAAACCATCAAGTGGATTAATAATTGATGTAATTACTCAAACGGGATCCTTATTTTCTGACTTCATTTGTTTTCATAAATAAACACATAAACTGACCAACAAACTCGACTCTGATTGGCTGGCGGAGCAGCAGCTGGCCCCGCCCCCTTTCCTACAGAGAGCGAAGAGGACCAAATTACAGCAAATCGTCATCTGGAGATCCAGAAATACTTTGACGCTCAGGTGTCCAACTCCAGTCCTGCAGGTTTTAGTGAGCCTCGGCTCATGGCCCGGTTCTCCAGAACCATCAAGTGGAGCAGCAGAGCCTCATGGCCCGGTTCTCCAGAACCATCAGGTGGAGCAGCAGAGCCTCATGGCCCGGTTCTCCAGAACCATCAGGTGGAGCAGCAGAGCCTCATGGCCCGGTTCTCCAGAACCATCAGGTGGAGCAGCAGAGCCTCATGGCCCGGTTCTCCAGAACCTTCAGGTGGAGCAGCAGAGCCTCCAGCGCTGGAGTTTGACCCCCTGCTGTAATGTAATATCGCCAGATAATATTCATGTTTTATTAAATGGAAGCTAAACTTGAGCATCAGACTCAGTGGGCGTGGCTGCAACAGATCCTGGTGACTGATTGGCTGCTTCAATCAGGAAGTGAAGGTTCCGCCCACTGACAGCCATTAATAGTTTATGAAATCACAACATTTAAAGTGATATGAACCGAACCAGAAGCGATGGAGGTCCAAATACTTCTCGGTTCTGATAATCGGAAGAAACAGATGGAGTCCAGTTGGACCAAATGATTCAGAGAATCTGAACCGGTTCCCCGTGAGAATCAGTCGCTGAGGCCACAATGCATTCTGGTCTCTGTAGTCCGACCGCAGGCAGACGAGCCCTGATTGGACCTCCATCATCCAGAACCAGCAGCACCGCGAGGCTGCCCCCTGCTGGTTTCAGACAGAAACTACAACAGCTCCTTCAAAAAGTTTTATTAAGACAGAAGGTCAGAGGTCACGGTAGGTTCTGGTCCGGTCCAAATCCAGTTAGTCTTCACCAGCTAATCCACATAGCCCCAGTCTTACCCGGATCAGAACCTTGAACCGGGTCAGGGAGCTGAGGTTCGGGTGTATCACCCCGGTATGGTTCTGGTGGTCTGGGCCGAACCGGGCCCTGGGTCTGCTCTACATCATACTGCAAATCTTGGACTGGCCTTCGGAACCCTGCTGGGCCGTGCGGTTCCGGACCAGTACTGCCTGGTTTCCGTAGCTGCTGTACCAGGCGGACTGGCTCCGGGTCAAGTAGGAGGCGGGCGGTCCGGTTCGGAGCTCCAGCTGCTGCTGCTGCCAGACCAGCAGCGACGTGTCCCGGTACCGGAGCCGGCCAAACGGTTCCGACAGGGCCTTTGCCGCCAGAGCGGGCCGGGTCGCGGTACCGGCCGGACCCGGTTCGCCTACAGCGGGCTCACGGTCCGACATGCTGACCCCTGGACCGCCATGAAGGACTCGGACGGTTCTGGAGTCCAGAGGCTCGGTTCCGACCCATCAGCGACCTGAGGGAGGAGAAGACGAAATTTTAAGCAGGTTCTGATCCAGACGGGAAGTAGAACCGAACCGAGAACTTTGACTGACCTGGAGCTCCGCAGAGTCCAACAGAACCCTGATGGTTCTGCGGGTAGAACCCTGAGCGTCGCGCTTTGGCGGCTAATCTTACACCGTGCCTACGTCACAGGTGACGTACCGCCGCGCTGACGTAACTAATCCGATCGAGCATCCGAGCTGTGACGTTTTGATGACGTTTCTCCCATTGAAACTCCTTTAGTAGCAAACGGTTCGCAGGCACATCGCGTCAGCTGCCCATAGCAACCGTCCGTCTGCGTTATGTTCCGGGTAGCAACGGAGGACAGGAACAAAGGTTCCGCCGGAGGAGTCGCCGAGGTTTGCGCCCTCGATGACGTCATCAGGAGAGCGTATAAATAAAATTCTAATTTAAAATTTTCTGAATTATTAATTTAGATTGTTTTAGGGAATCTAATTGCATGAATCATTAAGTTATTGTAGATACTGATGGCTGCTGGCAGGAAGGATCTCCTGTAGCAGTCTGTGTCACAGTGACTCGGAAGAAGCTGCTTATTAATGGTATGAAGAATTCTTCTTTGCATTCTTTGAACCACAACAGAACCAGAACCAGCCTTCTTTATCTGGCTGTTCTTTAGCTTCTGGTTCCGGTGGTTATGGTTCTGATGGGTCCAGTGGTTGTGATGGTTGTGATGGTTCCGGTGGTTCTGGGGGTTCCGGTTCTACTTCTGGTGGTTCCGATGGTTCTGGTTCCAGTGGTTCCAATGGTTCTGAGGATTCTGATGATTCCGTTGGTTCCCAAGGTTCTGGTTCTAGTTCTGGTGGTTCCAATGGTTCTGGTTCTGATATTTTGCTATTTAGCAAGCAGGGTGGAGCATACAGGTTCAGTTAGCAGGTCTTGCTAACAGGTTTAGGTAGCAGGTTTAGCTAACAGGTGGAGCTAGTATGTTTCGCTAACATGTTTAGCTAGCAGGTGAAGCTAACTGCTTTAGGTAGCAGGTGGAGCTAACTGCTTTAGGTAGCAGGTGGACCTAACAGCTTTAGCTAGCAGGTGGAGCTAACAGCTTTAGCTAGCAGGTGGAGCTAACTGCTTTAGGTAGCAGGTGGAGCTAACTGCTTTAGCTAGCAGGTGGAGCTAACTGCTTTAGCTAGCAGGTGGAGCTAACTGCTTTAGCTAGCAGGTGGAGCTAACAGCTTTAGCTAGCAGGTGGAGCTAACTGCTTTAGCTAGCAGGTGGAGCTAACAGCTTTAGCTAGCAGGTGGAGCTAACTGCTTTAGCTAGCAGGTGGAGGTCTGAAGCCTCATTCAAAGGTTCTGGTTGGGCCCGAATAGTGAAAATGTCAACGTAACAAACCTGATCAACATGGAGCCTTCTGCTTCGGCAGTGGAAAATCTTAAGGTTAATGTGATTATTAACTGGATCAACAGTGTTATGATTGTTGTGTGAAGCATGAGTTCATGAAAAAGGATTGTGTAGCAGCTTAGTGTGTTGCCTCGTGTGACAGTGAAGTCATTGAATTGTTTGCTGTCTGTCCTGTAACCATGTAGTTTATCAAATTGAATGAATATGAATGAAAGGCCTGGAATCAATACTGATTAGAACATATAGAATATATTGAACACAGGTTCCTCTGCGTGTAGCACATTGACACAAACTCTTTTCATTGGTTGTTTCAGAAATGTGGTGCATTTGAGAAAATCGGAAAAATGGGTGTCATATTGCATTCAAGCACTACCTGGTGACAAAACGTTTGCTGAATGAGCATCAAATGCCACAATGTCATGCTGACAATGACAAAATCAATCTAAAATTCTACTTTTGTTAAGTCTGAAGTCTGCAGTCTCCAACCGAGTGGAAATGAGCCTCAGGATGCGGCCGATCAATCCGTCACGTCATCGACTTTAGAGGGTTAAAGCTGCAGCTCTGAGCTCTGGTTTCACACACACACACACACACACACACACACACACACACACACACACACACACACACACACACACACACACACACACACACACATGCATGCGCTGCTCTGTTGTTGCCATCCATTGAGCTGCTGCTGGACGGGTCTCATACTAAGAACCGGGATTCAGACACAACTTCAAACTTTTATTCTGTGCACTTTCAGAGAAAAATGTGTTTTGTTTCAGAGACACAGAGGACGCAGAGACACAGAGGACGCAGAGACACAGAGGACAGGTCCTGCTCTGCTCCTTATCTCTGCTGGAATGTTTCCGTTTCTGAGGAACAAAGATAAAGAGACACAAATAGATCCTGGAGGACAGACAGAGACAGAGGGACAGCTGGACAGAGACATGTCCACCCTCTGACATCAAACTGGTTCCAGTTCCTCTTCTTCACCAGTTCAGTTTGCACAGAACCAGAACCACTGATCTGGATCCGGCCCAACGGACTCCATCGGAAAGTTGCAGCGTTGGGTCGGGTCCAGATCTCCAGTGAAACCAGTGGAACCAGTTGGATTTCCTTCCTTCAGAAATGACCAACATCCTGTCCAGCAGTGGATTTGATAATCTATAATCTAATCTATGATGATGATTAGATCATAATCCGGTTAAAATCCTTCATCTGCAGCAGAAACTAAAAGCAGAGATCAGATTCTGCTGCTCAGCTTCCCTGATAATCCAGATTATAATCTCACAGAGAAACCCTCAAGAATCAGATCCTGATTGGTTCTGATCGGTTCTGATTGGGTCAGAGGTTCCAGCGGAACCGTCTGGTACCACAGTGCTGGTTCTGCCTCTTCCAGCTGTCCAGGTCGTGCTGACACGTTTCTGTAGTCATGATGTGACTGGACTGTTACTTTAATCTGGTCTGCGTTCTGATTGGCCGATTCCTTCCTGGAGGCGGGCCTTCAGCTGGCATGATGCTGCCATCACCTGGTCCTTCTGTCTTTGCGTCTCTGCTCTGTTTTTTCCAACCTCTAGTCGGTCGAATGGCGGGCTGCTGGTTCTGGTTCTGGTTCTGGTTACTTCCTTTTAAAGGGGAGTTTTTCCTGGACACTGTTGCCCCCTGCTGGTCCATAGTGATTTTGCTGTTTTTCCTTAGAAATAAATCAAATCAAATTTTATTTGTATAGCACATTTCAGCAGCAACTGAACCGAACCGGACCGGACCGAACCGATAAAGAGAGCTGAGTGGAATGTTCCTGCAGTATGTTTATCTGGTTCCGGTTTATCTCCTGCTGCTATTTCAGTTTTCTTCCATGTTTGGTCCTCAAGTGCTCTCTGTCTCTCTCTCTGTCTCTCTCTCTCTGTCTCTCTCTGTCTCTCTCTCTCTGTCTCTCTCTCTCTCTCTCTCTGTCTCTCTCTCTCGCCCTTCCGCAGCGGTTATAAGCGGGCCTGCGGCGCCTCGCCTCCATCTGCAGCGCAGCATGGCTCCAAAGAAGGTGGAGGCCAAGAAAGCGGAGGTGAAGAAGGTGGAGGCCAAGAAGGAGGAGGCGGCGGCCCCGGCCCAGGCCCCAGAGCCGGAGCCCCGGGCCCCAGAGGTGGACCTGCGCAGCGTGGTGGTGGAGTTCAGCCCGGACCAGGTGGAGGAGTTCCGGGACGCCTTCTCCCTGTTCGACGAGACGCCGGGCGGCGAGATGAAGATCAGCTACGCCCAGTGCGGCGACGTGCTGCGGGCGCTGGGCCACAACCCGACCAACGACGAGGTTCTGAAGCTGCTGGGCCGGCCCAAAGCCGAGGAGATGCACGGCTCGCTGCTGGACTTCCAGGCCTTCCTGCCCATGCTGCAGCACGTGGCGCGCGCCAAGGAGCAGGGCAACATGGAGGACTTCGTGGAGGGGCTGCGCGTCTTTGACAAGGAGGGCAACGGCACCGTGATGGGGGCGGAGCTCCGCCACGTCCTGGCCACGCTGGGGGAGCGCATGACGGAGGACGAGGTGGACCGGCTCATGGCGGGCCAGGAGGACGCCAACGGACACGTCAACTACACCGAGTTCGTCAAGCACATCCTGGCCGGGTAGCAACCGGTGGGGGAGGGGCGACGGGGCTCCGCCTTAATAAACACCTGCAGGTCTAACTGTGTGTGGTTTCTGTCTCCTGAGTCCTGGTTCCGGTCCATTTATGGTGGTTCTGTCCCTCAGACTTTCGGTCTCTGTTGCTCCATTAGTGGCTGGCTGGTTCCATCAGAACCGGTCCAGTTCAACTGCTGGGGAACCGGACCGTCATCCAGGTATGCAGAATAATCTAACTACATGGAACTGGGAACCCCGGGTAGAGGGTTCCAGGCTGGAGGGGCCCAGGCTGGAGGGGCCCAAGGCTGGAGGGTTCCAGGCTGGAGGGTTCCAGGCTGGAGGGGCCCAAGGCTGGAGGGTTCCAGGCTGGAGGGTTCCAGGCTGGAGGGGCCCAGGCTGGAGGGTTCCAGGCTGGAGGGGCCCAGGCTGGAGGGGCCCAGGCTGGAGGGTTCCAGGCTGGAGGGGCCCAAGGCTGGAGGGTTCCAGGCTGGAGGGTTCCAGGCTGGAGGGGCCCAAGGCTGGAGGGGCCCAGGCTGGAGGGTTCCAGGCTGGAGGGGCCCAAGGCTGGAGGGGCCCAAGGCTGGAGGGTTCCAGGCTGGAGGGTTCCAGGCTGGAGGGTTCCAGGCTGGAGGGGCCCAGGCTGGAGGGTTCCAGGCTGGAGGGTTCCAGGCTGGAGGGGCCCAAGGCTGGAGGGCCCAAGGCTGGAGGGTTCCAGGCTGGAGGGGCCCAAGGCTGGAGGGGCCCAAGGCTGGAGGGTTCCAGGCTGGAGGGTTCCAGGCTGGAGGGTTCCAGGCTGGAGGGGCCCAGGCTGGAGGGTTCCAGGCTGGAGGGTTCCAGGCTGGAGGGTTCCAGGCTGGAGGGGCCCAGGCTGGAGGGGCCCAGGCTGGAGGGTTCCAGGCTGGAGGGTTCCAGGCTGGAGGGGCCCAGGCTGGAGGGCCCAAGGCTGGAGGGGCCCAGGCTGGAGGGGCCCAGGCTGGAGGGTTCCAGGCTGGAGGGGCCCAAGGCTGGGAGCAGCTATTGTCGCGTCAGTCTTTCGAGATGTGCAGTTTCGCCCTCAGCTGGTTGTTTTATGCAAAAGCAAGATGTCTGACATGAGAATCTAGTTCAGTTTATTAAAATAATTTGTATCACAGGATGACATCAGCAAACAGCCAACATGCAGCAGGATTGGCTACAAATCATTTTAA